ATCATTCAGAGCCTTCCTAAAAAGCATGATGGTGTCACTTGTGCTTAGAAATTGACAACTTTGTTGGTTTGGGGGTCAGATACAAAGTTACTAGATGCGCCTTCAGACACTGCACAGTGTCTTCTAGCTTTATTGTCTTCTACTACTTCAAATAGAAATGTCTCTTCGCCATTTTAGTTAAATGCTTGTCATTTCCAGACGATACTAAATTATTTTACTCACTTCACTTACAATGCTTTCCCCATCAATTCCACTGATGGGAAACTACCCCATTAATCAAGAACCATCTCCTTTCCTGTCACTCAACTGAAAGTTGCCTCCTTTTCCTCCTTAAAATCCATTCACTTACGGCATGCACCATTCACCTAGGATCCTGTCTTGCCCTGTACCTTAACCACTGGTGCTACCCCTGGGCTCTCTGAGCACAAGAACCACCATGCCTCATGTTCTCTTTCCATCGCATCTGCCAAAATCTCTTTTACTTCAAGGCAATTAGTGAATTGATGTTTTTCTTTCTTCTATCTTTTTTTGAAATTACAAATTTCAAATGTAGGAGGTGGAAATGTGAATTCCAGCCCTACGCAGATTGCTTCAAGGTTTGTAAAACCTCTAATGAAGTCTTCAATCAGCTGTGTAGTTTCATTTTGCCACAACAACCCAAGAGCAGTTCATTTCCTGGAATAATCTGGTTTTACTACGTTATGATCATTCTAATCTTGCTTAGGTTGAAGGGGGCCTGTCCGCCTCAGTGTATCTCTGTCCCCAGTTCTGTGGACACTGTGAGACTGTCCTACAGAACAGCAGACTGTAATGTGATGAACAAAGACACAGAGAACTACCCACAATACAGAATCACGACAAAGAGCAAAAGTAGAATACTGGATTGCAATGGAACAAGGAGGGAAGCGGCCTGGCTCACTACAGATTCAAAGGAAGGGCACTCAGTTCTCTGCACTCTCAGCCTGAACCCACAAGGTAGATTTACTCTGTAACCCATAATTAGCCATGACAGCTCACTTGCAAAAAAAACAGGCCACATCCTGTTAGAGCAGAAATTCAGGTAAGTACGTCTTAACTCCAGGTTTCCCTGTTCAAATTGCCTGTTGAAATTTTCAGAGCCAAATGTGTGGCCACTTGCATATTTTGTTAAGCAATTCGGCCTGACCCTAACTCTACTTTGCTTCCAACCTTGTTTTTCTTTTATTTTTGGCTCTGGTTTTAATTTACAATAACTTGTCGTACTTTCTGTATCTTTATAAGCTCCTTATGTTCTTTCTGGAACAAGCAAGATATAAATAAATTCTTGAATTTTTTCTTCACTATCTTCCTTCTTTATCAGTGTCTCCACATTATTTTACCAAAAAGAGAACACTCAGAATGATATTTATTATTCAATATTACAAATGCATGAAAGTTTTATAAACAGAATTAGGCATGAATTTTGGGAACCTCAGGACTTTCATCTAATTGAAGACAGTTATTTTTATTTATTTTCTTTAAACCATCTATTTTCTGAATAATTCAAGCTTTACAAATATGCTTGTACCTGTGCAATATTTTACAGAAGGGGATGCCATGTGAACCTGTCAGACAACAGACTGCAAATTCTAAGATTGGTTAAAGGGGAGAAAATCATTAAATTAATTCTAAGACTGCCAGGTGTTAAAAGGAAATGTGGTGTAGGAAGGGGCCAAATAGATATAGTCAGCATAAACTGCAAAGTTGAAAAATAAAAGCCAAAAAAAATTTAAAACCTCCTAGTTAGGAGGATATACATATTCATATGGTGACCCAATTCTTACATCATAATTCAGTTTAGCAAAAACTGGTCAAGAATTCACCAAATACACATGTATACAGTGAACCAGAGGCAAAAGTCAAATAGGTGTTGACATTAGGAAATGTTTGATCTTGTCAGGAAATAAGAAATGTAGACAAGAGATTCCAAAGCAGGGAGAAAATAATACTAAGGCCGTGAAAGAGAAATCCTTGGGGAAAGGGAGATCACATAGGAAAAGGAAGATATGTACAGGTGATGGCGTTAGAGATGGCTCTTGGAAATAAGTAAGATTTTATAAGAAAGAAATTTGGGAGAAGAGAACAGTAAAATAAACAGTGGAAGCCTTTGATATTATGGTTACATTGTAGGAAGTACAGGGGGAAAGAATGGGAACTACAACTAACACCGTAGGCTGAGTCATCTTGCTTCCCTCTGTAAGGAAGAATGGACTTGGTTTAGGACAATCATTCATGAAAGTTTATGTGAGCAGGGAGATAGGAAGAATATTTGGCAATATGGAGATAGACAATGGCAAGAATGATTGTTGAAATAGATATACAAAAAGAAAAGAGCTCTCGGCAAGTTGGAGCACAAATACAGAAGAAGGGACTCACAGGGAAAAAGATATTTTGAGGCCATGTTTACCCAAAGTCAATGCTCCCCAAACTGTTTTTTTGAACTTTAATTTCCCAAGTTGTTTTAAAGTTATCTCAGTTATTAGAAGCACACATAACAAAGACAGAGTGTCGAGGTTCAGAACTGGACTCTACCACGAGCAGGCTGTATGATCTTGAGAATGTCACTTAATTTTTCTGTGCTCTAGTTTCCTCATCTGTAATAATTCAGCAGAATGACGCAGGTAATGCACCAGGCACACAGTAAGTGTTCCTTAAATATGAACTCCCATTCTTTGTCTTTTAGATGCCATCGAATCATAAGAGTCATTCTCCAGTATAAATAAATAGATTAAAATACTACAGTTCTCTAGAAGGTTTGGTTGCTATGACCAAAATCATTAGAGCAAGATTACCAACCACATGAGATCTTTAACAAATTTAATTAAACAAGTATAATACAGTAGACTTTGGAGCCAGAACACCAGGGTTCAAGTCCCTTCCCTGCCATTTACTGGTTGATAGGGATAAATAAGTTTCTTTTATTGTCATCATTATTAGCATTGCTATGTTGTTCCCCAAACCTCCATTTATGGACTCTAATCTTTTCACTTTCCAAAGTCTTACAGAAACAAAACCCAAAAGAAAAGTTGAGAGATACATTCAAGTAGAAATACCATTCCTTCTCTATCTAATAAAAATATTTAAATGCTCCTATAAAAATAACCAAAACTTATTCCTTTCCCCTCTTTTTAGTGAGGTATATAATTCGCAAAAAGTCTCAAGGGTGGTTCTGTAGCACCACAGGGGGGTAGGGTTACCAGGGCTGGGGCAGAAGGAGGAAAATATGGTAAACAGTTCTTTGGAAAAATCAATTCCCCTAAAGCTGTGAAGGCCCAAATGTTTGGCATTCAATAAAAAAGTGTGCTGTTGCCTGAAAAGGAAAAGCTTTGCTCATTGGAACACATGGTGATAAGCATAAGATAAAGCAGAGCCCAGACTGAAAGGACGGCTGTGGGTGCCAAACCTTGGCAGAGCCTGAGCCAGACCCGAGAGAAACATCCAGACGAAGAAAGAGAGAAGAGGTGAAACAACAAAGAAAAGTAAACATGTTGTTCATAAAGATGTTAAATGGATCCCTTCGAAACAGGTGATTTCTCTTTTATTATCCCATGAACAGTCTTTGAAAACACTACCTGTTGTTTGCTTGACTGAACGTTCAAAAGGCACCGAAGTCTTTTAAGATCTGAATAGTCCCTAGGAGAAAGGATAACACAATGTCAACCCACGGAAGGCTCCTGGCAAACAAGTTCATGTTACCCCCGATGGCATTGCCACTTGGAGGCCTGTTTTTATAGACTGAAAAGTATAAACACTAAACATTTCCTTTAGGACTCTAAAAAGGATCAAATGTTTCAGTAAATACTGTAAGCAGCTGTCAAGGGTCATCTCTATTTCCCAGACAGCCATTAAATATGTTCAGTAGCTACTGCCTAAGTTAATAATTAGCAAATACAGTATGGGATTACCTGGCGACGATTCCTTGCTGTTTTTTATCTGTTGATTTCTCCGTGATCTTCACCTTTTTGTCTTGATCAGGCATTGTAGAACATCAATGCCTCAGAATTAACATTGCATTCCTTTCAAAGTAAATAGGAGGGAAAATTTTAGTTGGTTTGTATGCCCCAAAATACTTTCAATTACTACGTACAAAATTCATATAAAACATCTATTTAAACATGCAAAAACAAGCATTTATTTCTAATACAATAATAAAAGTGTTAATATGAATACCATTTACTACTTATTTATGGTTTACTTTATAGTAGCCCATAAGCCTATTTTTTCTGGGTCATCCTTGATTTCAAATATCCTGACCTCATTGCCCATAGTATTGGTCTACATATCAGAAAAAGTGGCCTTACTTTTAAGTTTCATACACAAACACACACACACATATATATGAAATTTTATATATATATAAAATCAAATACTTAAAGCCAAATTGATGCTTTTGCCATCTCACTTGTCTATCTCAACAAGATTCCCAATGCACAGGGTTTCTCCCTCACCATGAGTCATTTCTTTAAGATTCTCAGAGAAAACCTCACTCACTCACAGATAAGCTCTCAGTGTTGAGGGTAACATACAAAATGCTGGTGGACTTCCACAATTCCTAAAGCTTTAGAGCTGCTATCTGAAACCCTACATGGGTCGACCCCAGTCATAAGCTCTTCTGGAAAACGTGGGCCAGTCTTGCACAGCTCCTGAACTCACCCAACATCTGCAATGAGACTGGCCCACCTGGAAATATAGTGAAAAGGTATTTCAATCTCCTCAATTAAGCTTTGTAGAGTCATCACATTCACCCTTCCTAAGATTAATTTTAATACTGTTTCCCACTTCTACTCAAAAGATAGTTCACAAGTTCACCAATTATTCAACAGACGGAGAATAATTTGTTCGCTCTTTTTAACAATTTCTAATTCATTGTTTTAGTTTCCAGAATAGAAAAGGAAAATTGAAGATACTCATACTTTTAATTACATAGAAAATATAAAATTAAGTGTGTTATTAATTTAATTTAATTGGATGCAAAATTTTTCAGCTGTGCTTCAATGTCATGGTTTGACTTCAATGTATTGTTCAGGCATGAAAAGGTATGCATTATTGCCTTATGATTACATGCCATAATGGATTGTGAAATCTGTGGTCAAAAGCCAAGTGTTCTAGAGGTATTTAGAGGCAAAAGGAATGTACCAATAGGTGTTTCACTGCAGAAGAGTCTAGTGAAAATTAATTTTATGAAATATACAGGGAGAGTTTATCTAAGAATTTAAATGTGGTTTTCCCAATATAGTTGTCATTGGTGACCAACAGTAGATAGAACTGAAATTAAAAGCTGGAGACCAAGGCTCTCATCACAGGTACACAACCAAAAAAGGAACGGTATCGGTACTTTAGTATTGTACCGAGGGGATAATGCCATGAAGTCCTTCATTCAACAAGTATTACTAAACTTTTACTATACCCAGCCTCAGAATTAAAACTGATAAAGGTAAAAGAAGCACTACAGATTTCTACCACAGGAAAGAAAAACCCACTTAGGAACTTCAAAACCTGTTTTATGAGGTGCTCAGATAGAAATTTGATTTAGCATAAGTTTTACTTTAAAAGAAAGAAAGACTGTTTTAGAAGAAGGAAATGAAAGGCCCAATAATAAGTACCCAAAACTGTGTAGAAAAGTTCACAAGCCCTTCTGCTAGAAGGAGAATGCATTTACAATTCTCAAATCCTGGTAAACATCTTGTCTTATTTTCTTGCTTAATCTCTGTATTTTATTGACTGATTGAGTGAATTGAAAATAATCATCTCATAGTTTTATCAGTTTGAGATTAACATGTACTCTGTGAGCTGGAAGAGTGAATAGAGACAACTCTCTGGAAATGTTTCACTTAATTAAGCAGTAAACAAATTCACCAGTATCAGTAGAAACAGACAATTGCCTTTAGGATAAAAAATAAAATCCTTTCCACTTAATGGTAGCTACAATGGAAACTATTCTGGAAAAAAAAAATACTTTGAGAAGTTGGGAATGCATTAAAATATTTAATATAATCTTACTTTACTTTAACAATCACGATTACACTACGCTAATGTCTATAATCCAACATTTAGGGGGAGGACAGTTCAGGTCTTAAGTCAAGATGCTCAGAAGCAGATAATGTATTAAGAAACTGTTTCCGAGAGAGGTCAGGCAAGGGGTGCTATCTAAGACAAGCTCTGCAGAGGGTAGCTTCAGTTTGATTCCCTCTGAATTAGCTCTGAAGTGAAGGTTATGCCTCAAAGTTGTCCACATCTAAAAAAAGGGAGTCTGGTTCTCATATTCCTGTAATGTCAGTAATAACAGAAGTGCCTGGGGGTAAAGAGACTTCAGAAGCTTGAGGACAGCCCTCTAAACAAAGAGACACAGGAATCAACAGTTAGAAGAAAAGAACACTGAAGACAAAGCCCAGGACACACAGTCAGACGGGATCAGAGAGGCTCTGGACAGAGTGCCCACATTATCCATTATGATCACCAACTCCAGGTGGAAGAGTTGTAGATAAGAGTGTACAAGAATCTTTGCTGTGGCTACAAACTGAGCAGAGAGAGCCTACTGCAATAGCTCTCAACACGGAGTCAAATTTCCTCCTCCTTTTCTTGGCCTCTCCAGACACCAGCATGTCCTCCTGGCCTAGTAGCTGAGCTGGCTCAGGCCTTAGCCCTCCTCTCTCTCTACCCTCTCTCCCTAAGGGATCTTATGCAGTTCCATGGATTTACATACCATTTGTAATTCTAGATTTCTATGTCCAGCTCTGACATCCTGAATTCACAAAGTCACCTTCTGGGTGTCTAATGGGTATCCCAAATTCAACGCAGCCCAGATGGAACTCTTGACCCTCATCCTTATACCAAATTCCCCTTAAGCTCCCCATCTTGGAAATTGGCACCACCCTACCTCTCTAGACAAAAGTTCAGGTGACATTCTTGATCCCTGTCCTTCCTCTACCTCCCATATTCAAGCCACCAGCAAAACGTGGCAGCCTTCCTTTCTCTCCACTCCCACTGCCATCACCATCCCCCAAGCTGCCATTTTCTCTTGGCTGGAACACTGCCACAGCCCCCTCACAGGTCTCTCTGCCTTCACCCCTGCCCCTCTACAGCCACAGGAACCTCAGCAGTCATTTTAAAATGTAAATCAGATCATGCCAGTCTGTGGCTTACAATCTTTCTGTGGGCTTCTATTGCACTTGGCTTTTAACCAGGATTTTCACCTCTCAGAGTTTGCCTCCTGCCCTCTCCCTCTTGCTCACTCCACTTCAGTCATGCAGGCTCTCTAGGGAGAAAAATGAACCCATAAATATGATGTTCCCGTCCAAAACTCATCGTGAAATGTAATTGTCATTGTAACAGTATTAGGAGGTGGGTGGGACCTCTGAGAGGTGAGTGGCCATCAGGGCTCTGACCTCTTGGGTGGGTTTAGTGCCTTTAAAGAAAGGGCTTTCAGGAGAAGGTTCTCACTTGCTCTTTCACTCTTCTGCCAAGGGAGAAAGTGTTGCTTCTTTCTGGATGCAGCATCCAAGATGCCATCTTGGAAGCAGAGATTGCATACTTTCTAGACACCAAAACTGCTGGCACCTTCATCTTCCACTTATCGGAGCTTCCAAAGTATTCTTTATAAACTACCCAGTCTGTGCTACTCTATTATAACAGCATAAAACAGACTAAGACAATTTGTGCCCAGGAAAATGCCAACCAATTCCTGCCTACAAATCTTGGCAGTTTCTGCTTGCTCTTCCTTCCCATATTCCCGGCTTGCTCCTTTTGTCCTAAATGGTCTCAGTTCAGATGTCCCCTCCTAAGCAAGGGCTCCTCTGATGAACCTCTGCAGTACAGTCACACCTACACACTCATTCTCACCACAGCACCCTGCTTTATTTCCCCCTGGAGCTCATCAACACCAGAAATCCTCTTACCCATTTATTGGTTTCCTTGTACCAGCTCCTAAACCTACATAGAGGGACCGTTATCTATTTTATAGATAGATAGTACATCTACAGATGTACATTTATAGATAGAATAGTACATGTCACAGTGCAAGCACGGTATAAGCACTCAAAGAATATTTGTGTCACACTCTGTAAGGAGTAACTTATTTTTGTTTGACAGTTATTTATTTTTAGGCTTTGAGCCTCCTCTCATTTCCCAAATCCAGTGATCCTGCTTAGTGCTCCCAGAGCAGTTCATACTCCCCAAGTTGCAAACCTGTGCATGTAAGAATAAATTGCCTAATCACCACATAAGGTCAGGGTTGGGCTTCTCTTATTTACCAGACATATGGTAGGCAAATAATAAATATTTAGTGAATGCACAACCTAGTAACTGGTTGAATGGATAAAGGATTATTTTTAAAGAAACCTGTGTCATTAGTCTTAGTTCATAAAAGAAACAAAAATCATAAAGCTGTTTTCTAAATCAGATCAATTGATGAACATTTGTAGCGTTGCAACAATTGTGAATTCATTCAGGAACTATCTCATTTATTCAGTGATTCGTGGGATAATTTGAATTCTATCTAACACACTCCCAGCTAGTAGTCCAAATCTTGTTCAGTTAGACAAGTCCACTGATCATATTCGTGGATGTCATGGCAAATGTTGAATTGTTATAAATATTTCTAAATTCTTACTCTCAATTTCTGTCCTGTCTCCTCATGGACCAGGAACATACCAGTCTGAATTACACCTGAATAGCACTGGTCTAGATTACTGAAGTCTATCTTTACAAATAACAGAATGATTTTCACAACAACCTTAAATGACCATTTAATTGAGGACCTCAGTCCTAAGTATATAGCCTGAGGGGACTAACCCAGTGACTGTCAATTCCATGACAACTCAGAGAGGGGAAGGGTGAGCCTAGGAAGGGAGAACCGTGGCCAAGTAGTTAAAGCCAAATGTAGACTTCCCACTTAAACCTAAGCAGTCTTACTACTCAGGGGTTCTATAGTTTCATTTGGGTAAAGGATTCCATGGCTAAAAGTAAAAAAAGAAAATCATT